CCCCCCCCCCCCCCCCCCCCCCCCCCCCCCCCCCCCCCCCAACACATGGCATCCTGCTCTGAGCCCTGCTTTATGCCACAGGGATGCTCTGTCCTGGCGCAGAGTGCCAATTACCTCTGCTGTCAGCAGATCTTGACGTTTACCACGGTGCTGTTCAGAAGAAGGCCACGTTATGCAGAACAGCCCCTTTTGGGGAGGTGTTTTATGGAGTATATACAGAGCTGAGACTGAATTTTGATACTCTGCCCTTCTGCACCCCACACACTCTAAGTATTCCCCTTTCCCATTCTCCAGCAGGACAGAAGATTTTCCTTCTATCCCTTCCAGCAGCAATGACCTCCCATATTAGGAGGGATATGCAATAACTGGCTTTTCCTTTTTTTTTTTCTTTCTTTTTTTTTCCCCCCACATTACTGTTACTGAAGAAGCCCTTCGAGTTTTTTCATTCTTTTATTTCTCAGCCAGGGCTCGAGATGCGTGAGCTGGTCCGCCCAACGCGTGCCCAATGGCTGTGCCCGCAGTGCTGATGACCACAGGTATCATCGCACTGCCACCTAACGCCCGGAGCTGCGCTACTGATTCCTCTCTTGGCATTGATTCAGAGCGCCGGTGTCCATCCTGGCCAAGCGACCCGGCCGGGAGGAGGAGCTGCTGTGATGCTGCCCTGAGCTCCGAGCAGCCCCAGGGCTGCAGGCATTTGGCATGCTCTCACCCACGTATCAGGTGGGGAGGTATATCCCGTGCAGCTCAGCAATCAAGGGATCAGCAGGACAGCTGGCAGCGTCCTACACCTGTTTTTAGGCAGCCCCGCATTGCATTGCTCCCAGGTGGATGCAATGAGCTCCAGAAGCGCACAACGCTCGTTGCTGAGGTCACACTTTCAGCCTTCCATGGGAGCCCTCTGGCCCTTTCAGCCCTTACCTGTCGCCCAGGTACCACTCGGGGCAGTGGCAGGAGTACCCGGAGCCGGAGAGGACGCAGGTGCCGCCGTGCAGGCAGGGCTTGGACTCGCAGGGGCTGTCCCCCAGCTCACAGCGCTCACCAGAAAACAGCCCGGGACAGATGCACGTGTAACCTGCAGAGGTGAGAGGGTGCCGTCAGGAGACTGCTGGGGAGGCGGAGGGTTTGCTGCTGGCTGGGATTTCAGCTACTGTTCGTGCAGCCCTGAGCATGGGAATGCTGCCGGCTCTGCTGAGCTCCCGCAGTCCCTCTGCTGGCGGTGCCACGTGGAATGTTCTGGCATTCTACCCTGCAGCGCTCTGCAAAGCCTTTGCTGCTCATCGGTAGCACAACTTTAGAGCAGTGTGAGCACGGCAGACCTGTTGCCACATGCGTGCAGTGCTGTGCAGCTGGGACATGCTGGTGCTTGCAGGGCAGGTGCTGGACGTTGCCTGTGGGGCTGCAAGCACGCGTGTTCACATGGCTTTGTTGATGTGCTGGGTTTGACTGTGACCCTCTTGGTGTTCTCACTTGCTTCCATGGCTGCTGGCCCACCCGAACAAGCTCATAGGGACCTGTGTGTGCCTGTGTGGGTAATCCTGTGCCTTGAGGTCCCTGAGCAGAGATCTGTACAAGCTCATGCTGTGTGCCCGTGCTTACACGACTGCTGCAGGAAGGCAGGTGCTCAGGCTCACCACACTGCTGTGGCCTTCCATCAACCCCTGCCCTGCAGAAATGTCCTGCATTGTCCTACAGCGTGGGGGTATGCCTGGTGGGTGGGATAGAGCCTGGTGCCAAGCCCCCGCTGAGCACTTGTGCCTCATGCTAACCTGCGACGCTCATGTGCAAGCTCACAGTTTTCCCAGATACCTTCCCATAGCCCCAGGGAGTCACTGACTGCAGTGGGAATAGATGAAGATCTTGGCTCATTTCTGCCCAGATACCATAATTGCGCGATCCCATCTTGCCCAATTCCAACTCTGCTAATGGCTCCTCAAGGAAAGAGGATGTAGGGGGGAAGGTAGAATTTCTATTTGTGCTTGCATTTTTGGCAAAGGTGCTCATTCCTAGGTCATGCCCACTCCTTAGAAATGCTCCTGCCCTGCAGGCCGTCTGATACTGAGAGCCCGGATGATGATCTCATGCCACCAGCTGTTCCTGAACTGAGTCAGCCACCGCTTGAGCCCCTGGGATGGGGCACTTCTCCTTGCATAGGGAAGCATCAAGGTGTTGTGGCTTTCCCTTCTCTCTTGCCCCCCCTATATGTATTCACATATATTCACATACCTCCTCCATGAGTTTCGGAGCACATCCCGTTGTTCAGGCATGGATTGCTGCTGCAGGCACCAGTTGGGGAGCAGCACTGCTTCATCCCCACCTCCTCCATCACCTCCTTGGATTGCCCTTTCCCATGCAGAAGAACCACCTCTCTGCCATTGATGGCAAGTACATCCAGGCAGCCCCTGAACCCCCGTGTGACTCTCTGGGACTGGAGTGGGTGCCGGAGGCCCCCAAAAAGCAGGTCTCGCCTGCCCTGGGATGTGCTGCAGGTCCCTGGCAGTTGGAGGGAGGTGTTTCCCAGGCCATCGACGAGCAGACGGACCGACGCATTCTTCACCTCCAGGAAGACTGAGTGCCACTCCCCATCACTCACAAAACGTGAGGAGGAGAGGTTCCCAGTGTAGTTTCCCCAGCAGCCGTACCCCAGGTGAAGCACCCCATGTACCATCTGCAAAACACATCCCAGAAGTCATGGTTAGCACGCAGGTTCTTGGCAATTCTTAACCTCCTCTGCCCCTGCCTGAGTGTTTTGAGTCAAGAATCTTGAATCCCAAGATGTTGTCTTTTCAACATCCTCTTTTACTCATGCATAAGCTTTGCATGGATCAGCTAAAGCCTAAGAGACTGCAGTCTCATTTATGTTGCCCTCATTTCATCTATGGCCCTTTCCAATCACTGACAGTTTGAGAGAGGTTTCTGCAGAACAAGAGGCAGAGATGCAATCCAGTCCTTGCTCTCCAGCAGGTAGGATGAAGACCATCAAGCTGCTGATCTTCTGAAAGCAAACCACACCAATGTTCTCAGCATGAAACTGGGCCATCAGAAATCCCTGTGGCCCAAGATTCCTCTTTAAAATGCCTATGGAGGAAGGTTAGCTTTCAGCAACTGCTGAAAGGGTGTGAGGATGACAGAGGGAAGGAAGAGCCAGGTGCAGCTGGCACACACCCTAGTAAGGCCTCAGGGCAACATGTGTGTAAATCCCTTTGCACAATTGGCAAGCGCACCAGAGAGCTTTGTCACTTGGCTTTATCCGAAGGAACGTGATCTCACTTCAGATGGGTCTGTAGATTGGGTTTATCAATTTCTGGGTCTGGGAGACAGCTAAGAACTCGATTCCCTGAAGCAATAGCTGACAGGCTGCCAGCTCCTTCTCAGTGTGCCTGACTTGCCATCCTCTTGCTGCTTCCTATTTCTGAATAGCAGATCAGCTTGGTGATTGGAAGAGTGATGTTATGCATGCCCTTGGGAGAACCTGTCCTCTCTACCAAATCTACAAGCCATGGGAGTTCTGATTTCTTTCCGCTTACCGAGTGAAAGAGGGAGATGGTCTTTGAGTTCTGTGTGGGTTCAGCGTGCAAATGGGGAAGAAAACAGTCAGAGTGAAATGTCTGTGGCTCTGCCGGTTCCTTAAACAAGGAAACCACCTGAAAGATGTGACTGTAAAGAGTGGGAGCTGCAAAACAGCGAGTAAGACTCCTGTTTTGTCGGTTCTGTGCACCTGATAAATTCTTTGTCCTATAAATGCAATGAAAGAGAGGGATGAAGAAGCAAGCCACAGGGAAGAAGCCGTGATGTAGGTCTATGATATGGGCATGTGCTGCCTTTACACCAGAGGTCAGTGCAGGCATTCACAGATGGAAGAAAAAGCAATTCACCAGCTGTGGTTGCAGCAGTTGCCAAACTGTGCTCAGCTCTCACTTGTCCTTGTCAAGTCTTATGTGCTCGCTAGATCAATTCCTAAAGATACATACTACTGCATCTTCTTTCTGTGATTCCCTTCCCCAAAACAATTAATGTTTTTCACACTGGAAAGAGACCTTTGTGTGTTGCAATGCATACCTCCAATGTGGCGTGGTCTGTGCCGTTGGCGTGGAACACGACAGCATGGAGCTGGTGGGTTTTCATGCGGAAGTGCATGTGCCAGGACCCCACCTGGGAGTGCTGGTACCAGATGTAGCTGTGGCCCCCAAACCTCACAGCAGTTCCTGGAAGTGGAATGAACAAAAAGTTTCATAGTTGTCGTGCTTTGAGACTGTACCTAGCCTTGCCTCTTCCCCAGCCTGATGCCATTAACTGTCCAGGATCAGACCTGTCCCCGAGCACCTTTTAGGTGCTCTTAGCGCAGTCTGCAACACCCTTGGATTTCCTCGTCCTTTAATACATCTTTATCTTAGCCTACAGTTTCCCCTTACCACTCCTGCCTAAGTGATGTTAACCTCTATCCCTGCTGCCTTGGCTTGTTTCTATTTCTCTAGAGAAATACTCTGAAGTGAACAGAGTATATTAATTCTACTTGCTTTTCCTGGAGTTTATCAGTTTGTCTGAGGCTCAGCAAAATACAGACTCAGGAGCTCAAAGATCAGAAATCTAATCGCTGAGCTTCTTCAGCTGCTAAGTATGAATGACTTTTCCCAATGAGATATTCGTAGAATTGCTTGGGGTGGAAGAGACCTTAGAGATTGCCGAGTTCCAATCATTGTATTGATGCTATTTAATTAATTGCTACGGGAGGTGAATTATATAAATTAAAAAAAAAAAAAAAAAGACTAAGTGAAATTTTCAAGCTCTATAAGGTTTATATCACGAGATGCTACCGAGGATTGCTCACCATTACAGGAGCAGATTTGCTCCAAGCTGTGCCGCGGGGTGAGGACGCTGAGTCGGGCAGTGCTGTATGTGGACATCATGCCTGGGTCCAGTTGGATGGTTTCCTTGCAGACACGGTGGGCACAGTCTGACCCGTGACACGGCACATGAATTGCTTTCTTCATCCGGAGTCCAACGAGCTGGTCCATCTCCCCAGCTGAGACAGTGATCTTGTTGGCAAGGACCCGAGGCTCGTACAAGGAGCCGTGTGGCTCTCCAACGGCCAAGAGCAGATCTACTCCATCAGAGGTAGCTGCAGGCTGTAAGCTGGCCATGTGGATGTTTTGGCGCCGGGTGATGAGGACGTTTCCCAAAAACCTCTGCAGGTTGCGCCAGTGGTCCCCCACAAACTCCTCGGGGGACAGGTGGCGGAAGTGCAGCACCACTGCCTTGTCCAGTGCCTCCTGCGTGAAGCACCACACGTGGATGTTGACGCTGGTGGTGGCTGTGAACGTGCCGTCACTGACCGTCACATTCAGGAGATAATGGCCATGGGGCAGCTTATTGCCAGCAATGATCTTTCCATCTGCAGCTCCGACGGAGAAGCGTCCCTCTTGGGGCACCTCTGCCACCAAAGTGTACACCAACGTGTCGTGGGGGTCTCGGTCCGTGGCGTGAATCTTGCCCAGAACGCCGCCTCGGAAGGCTTCCTCATTTGTGGTGATGAATATCTCCAGGGGAAGTGCTGACGGGGCATACTGGCTCTGCTCTGTCACTTGGATGTTTATGAATGCTGATGAGGACAAAGGAGGGATACCGCTGTCGGAGACCTGACAAATTAAAGAGAAAGCTTCCTTATAGCCGTGTGCTGGCTTTCATGACAGCATGTCTTCCATCATGGAGACTGATCGAGACCTTCCCTCAGTGGTGGGACACTCATCTCTGTGTGCACCTGCACTGAGTGGCTCTGATTTCCTAAGAATTAGTGATCGGTAGAGATGCTGCCAATCTTAAGGGTTTCTGCATGTAACTGTGTGTACAAAGATAAAAGCAGTCATGTACATCAACACATTTGCTCAGATTCCAAAGTATTTAAGCCAAACTTCCATCTCTGACAATATCTGTCTAGCATGAGCCAAGGAAACTCAAAGCAGGAAAATGAGAATAATTGGGGTATAGGATAAGGCTCTGTCATTCTCAGGCAGGTAGTGGTTGAGGTTTATAATAATAATAGTACCTAGCTTCTTTACTGAAGATGTACTTGTTGTTATCCTGCTGTTTATAACTCGCTATCCTTACTGATAACATTGATAATTAATAAATTTACCCTGCAACATTAGACATCTTCTTTAAAAAGGAGATTAAATCACTTCTGGGATTCTTGGATAAAGATTTCAGGATCACAGCCAGGTCTTGCTTTAAACTGGAAGTTGCTGGAATTATGCTGGGAAAAGCATCTGTCTAAGGAAACCACTGACAGAGCATTTCTAGTGATTGTATTACCCTATTTCATCAATGCAGAGGTTTGTTTCCAGCTTCCTGTGGGCAGACTTTGTGGAAAAACAAGCTCTGGACTTGGCTCTTAGGTACGGGATTTTTTCCTGTGTTGGATTTCTCCAGTACCAGACAACTTCCCATCCAGCTGTGCCATCCTAATCTCATTTTATCACTCCTAAACTCAGCTGTGAGAACAGATCCCAGGACAGAAAGTCAGACTTTACCTGGACTTGTAACAGGTACTGCTCTTTCACTCTTCTGTTCAGGATGGATGAAGTCACCAGCAGACCATTTTGGGTGACATCAAATGCCTTCCCGTCGTTGCCCTGGGTGATCTGGAATGAATACGGCGGTCCATTTTCTGGTGAGTCTCTGTCACTCATTATCAGCTCCAGGACACTGGTACCCACTGGGGCATTCTCCTGAAATGCAGAAAGATGCCAGTGGAGAACTGCAGGCAAAGAGAAAAGGCCCAGGAGAACCCGTATTGCCACTGGGCCTTGTGGATAAAGAACAGAGAACCAAATCTCACACCTTGTGTGGAACTCTTGCCAGCAATAGTGCCTTTCATGGCATTACACATGTGGTAGAGTCAACCAGCTAAAAGCAGACAGTTGTGCTGATGCCCTTGTTTTCCCCTTGAGTCATGTCTGTACAGGAGCAGATGAAAGCATGTTTTGGGTATGTTTTTTTCTGAGTACCCATGGGTGTTTTGAGTCCAAGCAGCAACTGGTCTGCATCCAGCAGAGATGGTGATGCTTGACCATGTGCTGAAGTCTGTTCTGTATTTTGTTGTATATGTGGACAAACGCAGTGGACAAAGGGGCTGCTGGCCAGGCTTGGAAAGTGTGAAAGGAGAGAGGAGAAAGAACAGAAGGTGCCTGCAGCCATTGGTAGGAGAAGATGGCATTTGTTGGCAGAACATCTGCCCCCGCAGATCTCAGCAGTTTTTTGTGGCCATGAGCACAAAGCGATTGCGTGCTTCATTGCTGTCCCACCCTTGTGCTCCAGTAGGAGCCTGTGCATGAGAACCTTGGCACCTTGAGACAGGCTGGGATAACAGACAGCGTCCTGGCTTACCTGCACCACCACGCTGTAGTTGAGCTGGAAGAACCGAGGAGGGTTGTCATTGACATCAGACACGTGGACACGCACTGCGACTTCGCTGAACTGAGCGGGGTGGCCGTTGTCTGTGGCTCGAACTGTCAGGGAGTAGCTGGAGATCTGGGGGATACGTAGCATGGGATCACTTGGAGAAGTGGAAGGATGGTCACTTATTCACATTCATGTTTTACTCTCTTGCAGAGTAAAACATGCCTAACATGGATGAGATCCAAGCTGTAAAAACATCTGTCGGCAGCAGTTTGAGCTGCTGCTGCTATAAGAGATTGTCCAGATGGCCAGCTCCTGCTTGTGCGTGTTTTCTATCTGCTCTGGTGCAGAGAAGCATAAACCAGCCATGTTGTTTTCCAGTTTGAGAGCAACTCTTGCCTGACCAGCTTAGAGCACCAGTAGAGCAGACCGCAGCACAGAGTTGTGACCACTGAAGCCTCTACTGTCTCGTCTAAAGCCCTACTTTTCTACAGAAGTATCTGCGGGTCTCGGAAATGAATAACTTGCCTTTTGCTTTCAGTATTACTAGTAGATCATTCAGAAAAGAGCAGGCAGTGAATATAATCTGCTCATTCCAGCTAACAACTGCTTCAGCTTTCTCATTTCCGTTTCCTGGAACTCACCTCCTCCCTGTCCAGGTGCTTGGCAATGCTGATCTGCCCGCTTTTGGGTTGGATGGCAAAATGTCCCAGCGGGTTCCCTTCCACAATTGAATATGTGATCTGATTGTTCATTGTTCCATCCAAGTCATCAGCTGACACCTGTTAGAAGGAAAAACACGTAGGACTCATGGCCAAAGAGCCTTCCTGTGGAGGAATCTCTAAGAACAGGACCTCTCTGTCTTTTAAGGCTATTGGTTTGAGCATGCTTTAAATGAGGAGGAGGAAGGAAAGTGGTTTACATCAGTGTAATTTGCTGTCATCCCTGCCTATGGGCTGTCAGGAATTCTGGCAATCGTTTTTTAAGTCATGCCTCAATCTCAGGTGAAAAATGACACAAACCCGTTGGAACGGCTGTGCCCAAGGAAGAAAAAGGTGCAGAGGGAGAGTAAATAATACACAGCACAAGTAAGAAAATGAGGTTAAAAATGTGGTTTTGTTCATATTCGTACCGTGAGGATGATTTCTCCAACTGCAACATCCTCCCGGATATCAGCAAAGTAAGGGTCTTGGATGAACTCTGGTGCATGGTCGTTGATATCAGTTATGTTGATAACCACCATGGTGACATCGCTGAGAGAAGCTGAGCCCTTCCTTGTGCCCTCAATGGATAAGTAGTACTCATGACTCGCTTCAAAGTCCAAGCTCCCATTTATGTATAAGGCACCTGCAAGGGCAGATGGACAGAAATGGCATGAGATATTTTAAATGTCTTTTAAGATAACGCATACCAGTGGAAGATTGATATGGAGAAATTAGCAGGAGCCTTGAAGACAGAGAAACTGAGGAATGCACCGAATGAGGATGGTACAGACAGAAGCAGGAGGCCGCTCAAGTTCAGCCAATGCTTGTTCCAGGGATCTAACATTGGCCTTGAGATAACAGCTCTTATCAGGTGCTGTGCAAATAAAGCAGTGCTTTATTTGGCAAGAAATCCTGCCTCAGCACCTGCTTGTGGTTAATAGATTGGTAGCTGCATTCATTGAGTGCTCCCTAATAAAACTGTTAGTCTGGGCTACAGGTTCCTCCTGAAATCAGGGTGAGGAGACTTTTTAAATGAAATCAACTTATCTCATGTTTTGAAGTGGAACTTTTCTTCCCATCCTCTTCTCTACCTACTCCTCTTTCTCACGGACCCATCTCAGATCCCAGACATGTAACAGGAATCTTCCCGTTTATTCAGAAAGATTTGGTTCATGGCCTAGTTGATTTAGCTGATGAAATTTAGGGTAGAAGTGAAGACTGTATTCCCTGGCCCCATAGTGTACTCTGTATAGTAGCAGAAGAGATCTGACTGCTTGGAAACAGAAGGGTAATCTGCTTTAGAAAATGAAGCATGCAGGATCAACCTGGACCTATGAGATCATCTTACCTGTGTTTGAGTTGAGCTGAAATTTGCCATGGTCATTGCCGTTCACAATCTCATACTTGATCTCTGTGTTCTCTGTATTGTCTCTTGTCAAGGCTGACAAGTTGAGGACCTCTGTACCCACAGGCACGTCTTCTTTCACCATGGCCACATATTCAGGGGCCAGGAAGACAGGTAGATATTCATTTAGATCCACGACAGAAACGGTGACAGTGCCAAGAGCAGAGAGGGGCTGTGGGGTGCCCTGGTCGGTGGCACAGACCGTCAGCTCAAAGGCAGAGTGCTGTGAGTCCTTCAGGGGCTTTTCCAGACGGATCACCCCTGTGGTTTCCTCAATTGAAAAGTGTCCATTGGCAGAGTCAGAGAGGGAATAGACCACCTCGGCATTGAGACCTGCAAGGGTAAGGGACGGGCTGCATAAATTTATGGTTAGGAATGCTGCTGGTATTAATTCTTATATCCAGAAGGATGACATATGCCTAAGTGAGATAAAATTTCTAGGGAAAAGGGACTGTATGAACAACTTCTTCAAATGTGCCCCTGTCCACCCACATCCCTGTGTTTTTAAATGTCATTTTCCTTCATCTCTGCTTCCAAACCAGATCTTGCTTTTATATCATGTAAGTTCAGTTTCTGCTCAACACCTTTCTTAGAAGCCTTTTGTCTCTATCTGAGAATCTTTTGTCTTCCAAGGACTTCGCCACCCATTTTCGGTGGTCCTATGTGGAGCCAGAAATTGGACTCGATGATTCCTACAGGTCCATTTCAACTTGAGATATTTTATGGTTCTCCCTCTCCAGACACACAGCTCCTTTTTTCCTTATTATGCCCATTTTGTCTCCATCTTTCATATGATTTCTATCCAGTTTGGAGCTGTGTGTCAGGAGAGGGTTTGGAGGGTGTGTGAGGGACATGGTTTAGTGAGAACTATTGGTGATAGGTGGATGGTTGGACTGGATGATCTTGAAGGTCTTTTCCAACCTTGGTGATTCTGAGATTCTCTGTCATAGTTCGTGCTGTGCATCACTGTTACAGTTGATGAGCTTTTCCTTGAATTCTGTGCGTGTTTCTACAGATACGCATTTCTGACAGGTGCTGATGCCAGCCTGCTGGTCAAGAACATGTCAGTGATGAGATTCAGGCGGGCTCTTGCCAAGACTCACTCATCTATGCCCATCGCTGCAGCCCTTCCCTAGCTTTTACAGGTTTCTATTCAGGATGAAAGATGGACTTTGCTAAAACGTAGATCTCACCCTGACTCACCTTCATCAAGGTCCCTGGCGGATACCACAGCAATGGGTGTTTTTGTGGTGGTGTTGTCAAAAACGGCGACGGCGCAGTGGCTGGGGAAGAATCTGGGTGCGTTGTCATTGGTGTCCTCTACGGTCAGTGTTATGTCTGCCTGGCACGAGCGGCCGCCGCCATCAGTAGCTTTGGCAACCAGGTGGTAGGTGGGCTTCTGCTCCCGGTCAAGAGGTGCAGAGGTGGTCAGTTCCCCTGTGGGAAGAAGTGGGAAGTGGTCACGTGTCCAGCAACTGCAAACCCTACTGCATTAAGCCTCCTGCAATGTAATGAGCCCCAACTGTGCAAAGGAGGAAAGCTTTGTGTGCAGGTCCTGATCTCACCTGTGTGGGCGCCCAGGCGGAACTCCTCTGCGCCGGGGCCGTGCAGGCTGTATGTGATCTGGGCATTGCTGCCAACGTCGGGGTCGGTTGCTGATATTTTCAAAATGAAATGACCTGGCTGAGCATCTTCGGAGACTCTTCCCGTGTAGAATATCTGGCAAGGACAGAAGGTATCATTGGCATCTGATCTGTCTCCCAAACACCATATGAGGAGGAATGGAACAGGAGAAGCTTTATAGAAAAAGGTAAAACGTGGTTTGCAGAAAAACACAAGGTGCCTTATGTCTTGGTGCTGTGAAAGATGACCACAACACCAGAGTATATGAGCCCAGACTGGAGGACCAGCCTATTACATTTGGGACTTCTGTGGCCCCATCTGGAACAGCAGCCAACCACAGCTTGCGAAGGATATAGGCCTCAGGGAGAGAGGTTTGGAGATGCAGAAACGTGACCCATGATTAAACTGATGATTGCTAACAAGCTTTATGATATTAAAAAGAAATGTCAGTAATTGCTTTGACTATGACAATCCATAATAGGCTGTTGAGTAGGGTAAAGCAGCAGCCTGTGGTGGTTAGGCACTGGAGTGGGCTGCCCACAGAGGTGGTGGAGTCACCGTCCCTGGAGATGTTCAAGTACTGTGGAGATGTGGGTTTGAGGGATGTGGTTAGTGGGCATGGTGGGGATAGGCTGACAGCTGGGCTTGGTGATCTTAGAGATCTCTTCCAACCTTAATGATTCTGTGATTCAATTTTGACACTTGGACTGACAAATGATGTAGTGAAGGTCAGGAGCAGACTATGAAGGCTACCTGCAAACCTCCATCTCTACCTCTAAGAACGGGCTAGGCAGTTTCAGTAAAAATGGACCTTGTTTGCAATCAGGTTCTCTCTATGACACCTTTAACTTCTTCTAAAGCCTAGATTTTTCTTGTTAGCAAGTGCTAGATAATATATGTAGTTTCTTTTATCCTCCCTCTTATGTCAGGCTATGAATGCTGCTGTGGGTGCATTTCAGCACCTGCTGCTGGTCTGTGCTGGGACACATGGAGGCCAATACTTTGCATCGTGCCTTTGAGAGGAGGGCAGCTAGTTCCAGGGTGTGGGCTGGGACCAGTGAGCTCATTTCACTCAAGCCTCTGACTCTCCTTTGGGAAGCAGCCTCTTCTGTTCTTTCTCACCATGAGTAAAATCCATACCAGTGATCAACTCTTCACAGCTACAGCTCTCCTGATGGGAATCTTTCAACTTAGCAGGATATACAACTTGGTAATTTACATGCCCCAACCCAGAAGGCTTCCTGGCATTGTTTATCTCCAAAAATTATCCTTCATAATGCTTAGGTGTTCACTTACTGCTGGCAAACATGCTTGGAGGCTAAATTTAATGTTCTCGCTTGACGTGCACCTTAATTAAAATTGCTAAGTATAATCAAAGCAACCGGATTGTGTGAGAAACATGACAAGCCAAATCCTCTCAGCATGTGCTCTTTCTGCCTTTTCTTTCTGCCCCCTGATGTAGCAGGACAGCCGCCTTACCTGGCCGCACTCAGGGCTGTTGTCATTGATATCCAGAACAAAAATTTCTACTTCGGTGGTAGCCTGAAATTTTCCATCAGAAGCCATCACTTTGAGGAGATATTTCTCTGTATCTTCTCTGTCCAAAGGCTTCTTGGAAGAAATTGTCCATTCTCCCTCAATTTGGTCAACTGTGAACTGTCCTAGCACATCTCCTTCTAGAAGGGGCAAGAAGAAGAAAATAGACATTTACTGAAGTGGTAAGAGAGCGCTGGCACAGGTAGTCCAGAGAGGTGGTGGACAACCAAGGTCAGGCTGGAGAGGCTCTGAGCACCTGGTGGAGCTGTGGGTGTCCCTGTTCATTGCAGGGGAGTTGGGCTTTTTAAGGTCCCTTCCAAATCAAAAGGTTGTATGATTGCAGGGATGGTGTAGATGTGGCTACTGCCAGTCCCATATGAGAGCTGGAAGACTTGCATTGGTGCCACAGAAAGGACACTGGTGTCATACCATCCCCGTGGGGGGTAATTGGTCTACTGCACAGCTCAGAGATACCCTGTGTGTTTCTGCTATTCACTGAGTATTACGCTGGGGAAATGGATGGGGTGGAAAGAGGAAACAATTCACAATTTCGTAAATGTCTTTGTAATGTTCTGCAGATATGCATATTCATTGCTGGAAAACCACATTGTCTCACTCTCCTAAAACGTGTCAGCCTTTCTTGGTGTACGTTCCTAAAGAGATCTGAGAGTTGCAGATGCCTTGGAGACATCGGTTAGGCTTTGTTGCTATATAACACATATAACCTTTAGATGCATTTAAATCTAGAGCTGCTTTTCACTCCATAAGACCCAGTTGATGGGAGACACAGTAAATTGAGACTGGACAGGCTCTCCAGTCTGCCAGATTTGTGCCTCTCCTGCTACTGTCATGCAAAGTGGATTTTAAAAGGCCTCTGGCACATCTCTCTTGTCTGGCAAGGAACTCATGTCCTCTGCTGAACCCAGCCCAAGTGACTGGAGAGAGAAGAGAGCACGTTAGGTAATGGGAGGCAATGCAGAGAGCTGGCTGCAGGGCTTGTTTGCTTTGGGATCTGAAGGGCTCACACAGCCAGGTAAATTAAATTTGCTCTTTCTTCTTCCATATACACTGTGGAGATGTGGTGGTGAATCTGGAGGTTCAATGAGACATCTGCTGGCCCTCCTGATGCTGCCACACTGCAGCCCTTCCTCAGATCTAGGTCCTGTGTGCTTGAAATCAAGGTGTGTGTGGACAGTGGGAAGTTTGGCTCTTTGTTCACCCCTCATTTCTTTTGCTGTGGTGTTATGCTGCACTTGTATTTATATGGTTGTATGTAAAGTTTGGCCTGAGCTTTGAAGTACAAAGCGGCAAGAATTCAAGGCATCCACCACTAACACGAGTGTGAATTCTCTCAGGTTTAAAACTACTGCCTTAAAAGTGGCAGAAACAATAATGCAGAAATGGATTGACTATTTTCTTCCAAGGGCTTGCAAATAGCTAGACATACCATACACCAACCAAAAATGCCAGCATTCCTCCTTTGTTTTGAATGGTTACTACAATAGATAACAGGCTACAGCGTGAACTTGTTAAATGCTTTGACCCTGAAGGGTCTTCATTTGAGTTTGAACAAACATTTTAATTTGAAGTATCTGTTCCAGGACCCCTTTGGGGTCAAAAAGTACCGTAAAATCAAGCTGCTGCTTGTGCGGATGCACAGCATTCCAGTATAAACTTTTGTAGGTTTACAGCAGTGGTTAATTTTAGTTGGCACTGCTGATGTGTGGAGTCATCTTCCGTGCCTTCTGTTAGCCAAAACTCTCTCAGAGATTGATGTGATAGTCTCAAGTATCCGCCAGTCTGCAGAGCAGTTAGCTGCAGCCATACCTAATTTTTTGATAAGTTAGGGTCAAAGTGGCATCAGAAGGAATAGGTTTAATACCAGAAAGATATGTCTATATGTGTACTTATTAAAACATACAGATAGGCTACATATTTGTGTGATGTGTAAACTGCTCTGCTTGCAGAAGAAAAGTGCAGGGACAAAGAAATTACATACAGACCTCAGAGCCTATGAGAGAAAACCTTCCTTCTGGTTTCTGTCACTGCACTAGATCTTACAGTTACGTAGTTATAATTATTATCTAGTTAAAAAAAAAAATGTAAGTAAATACTTGTATAGTACTGCGTATTTATTTGTTTATATTTTAAGAAATATGGAAGGGCCAGTGGAGGTGATAGCTATTTTAATGATAATTCCATTCAGCCAGTTTAGGGAATGTCACTGAAATTAGTTTCTAAAGAGTTTTGCACACCCAAGGCTCAGTTGACTGATGAGTTAGGCTTCGTCTCCTATTTCCAATAGACTGTCAGGGTGAAGTTGTTTCTGTATCAATACTTTACAAGACAAGGTATCAAAGCCTCAGTTTGACGTGATGCTCTAATAATTCTTGCCCACTTAAAATACTTAAAGTCACGAAAACTCACCAGTTATGTAGCACGTGACCCGCCGATTCTGCTCAGAGATGTCTGCATCAATGGTACTCAGTGTGACAATGACCTGCCCTGGCTCGGCGTTCTCAATTACTGACCCTTTGTAGAAGTCTGAGGTGAACTGGGGAGCATTATCGTTTTCATCAGAGACGGTGACTTCCACCAAGGTTTGGGAAGAGAGCTGGACTTTTCTGCCATGGTCAGTGGCCACCACATAGAAACGATAGGTCTCCTGAGTTTCACAGTCCAGCTCCTTCAGTGTAGTGATCCATCCAGTCTCTCCATCAATGGTGAAGAGTCCCCGGAGGTTGCCAGACTCTGCTTCCAAGCTGTAGGTCACTTGTCCATCACTTCCTGTGTCTTGGTCATTTGCTGTCACTTGAATGACTGTGGTTCCTGATGGCATGTTCTCCATGACAAAAGCTCTGTAAGGATCTGCCTCAAAAACAGGCTTGTTGTCGTTTATGTCTTGCACTTGGATGTTCACAGAAACCAGGGAGACCAGCTCAGTCTCTAGATGTGAGCAGTGAGCCATAACATCAATCTGGTACCACTTGGTGGTCTCATGATCCATTGCCTTTTTGATTTTCAAAGCCCCAGTTTGTTCATCCAGGGTGAACACCTCATCCTTGTTACTTTCTGTAGTGGTTCCCTTCACCAGGCTATATATGATGGGATCCTCTGCAAAAGCTTTGACTGACCCTATTTCTGAACCTTCTGGAAGGTCCTCAGATGCTGAGAATGTATAAAGGGGCTCAGAAAATCTTGGCAGTGTCACTTCCCTGGGGACAATCTGAAGATTCACTGGGACAAGGGAGTTCCAGTGAGGAGGTCTGCCGTCTTCAGCTTTCACCTTGAAGTTAAAGGCTCTGTTTTCCAAACCCACAAGGCTCTCCTTGACCTTAACAACCCCGGTGGCAGCATTGATCTCAACAATATCTTCTGATACATCTTCCACAGAGTCAACGGAGTAAACGACATCTGCATTTGCACCTTCATCAGCATCATAAGCCAGCACCTGAATGACGGGGGAGCCTTTGCTTACGTTGGACTGGATGGACAGTGTGTATTCAGAGGCTTTGAACTGAGGAGGGTTGTCATTCTCATCTGTAAGGATTATTTTGACAGTGCAGAACGCCACCTTCCCACCCCCATCCTTAGCCATGACCTTAATGGCAATGACTCTCTCTGTGGAATTTTCCCTGTCCAGTTTTTGCAGTGTGGTGATGTGGCCTTTGTTATCTATGGAGAACTTCTCATCAGCAAGTTTATTGATGATAGTGTAGTCTATGGTGCCATATGGGCCACCATCTGGGTCAATGGCCAGCAGCTCAATCACTTTGGTTCCTATCTCAGCATTTTCTGCCAGCTCTGCCTCATACATGTTCTGCTGAAAAGAAGGGCTGTATTTGTTGGCATTTGTGGTGTTGATATACACAGGCACAGTGCTCTGGAAAACTCCATCTGAAGCAGAAACTCGGAGACTGTAAGATGATTCCAGGTCCTTTTTGCAGCGGTTGAACATGGATATTATTCCAGAAGTGCTGTTGATGGTGAAATGCCTGTGGTCGTTGCCTGAGAGAATCACATACTCCAGTCGGGTGGTATCTCCGCTGTCAGGGTCCAGGGCCTGGACTTTTATCACAACGTGCCCACACGTCGCCATTTCGCTTACCTTGGCTTCATACTGCAGCTGGCTGAACTCGGGAGGATTGTCATTGATGTCTGTCACGTCTACAATTACCAGGGCATCGCTGCTAAGTGGAGGCATCCCATGGTCTGCAGCTCTCACTTTCATGCGAAACTGCTGAGTTTTTTCATAATCCAGTGCTTGAGCCGTTGTTATTTGCCCTGTGCTGGTGTCAATATTAAAGAACTTGGTAGTATCTGAACCATCATCCAAGATCTGATAGGAGACCACTTTGTTTCTGCCTGAGTCTTTATCAGAAGCAAAGATCTGGACAACAGGAGTATGTGCTGGCATGCTCTCTGAGACAGACGCTGTGTAGATCATCTCAGAAAATACAGGTGGGTTGTCATTGATGTCTTCTACCTCCACCTCTACCCTGGCTTCTGAAAATGATCCTAGCGCCGTGTCTGTGGCCCTAACAGTGAATGAGTGCTTTGTCTCTAGCTCATAGTCCAGCTGTCCTGTGACAGTAAGGACACCAGTTTTGAAGTCAGTGCTGAACAGTTTCAGGGAGTCTTCTTCCATTATGTTGTAGATGAGGCGCAAGCCTTCGGGGCTGCGGGCCTGGATGTGGAGGATGGATGTGTATGGGGGGATATTTTCTGGCACTTTTACTCGGTAATACAAGCTTTGGAACAGAGGGTTGGATTTGTTTCTCACAGTGATCACAACCTCTTCTTCAGCAAGGAGTGGGGGTTCACCGTTGTCCTTAGCAACGACTCGGAGGCTGTATTTGTTTAAAGCATGATAGTCAAGAGGCTTCTTAAGTGAGATGTCTCCTAGGTAGGGGTCAATCCTAAAGTACTTATAGTCCTCTGCAAATGAGTAGGTAATGGCTGCGTTATTCCCTATGTCTTTGTCCGTTGCTGACACCTGAAAAAGTACATCACCTGGCTCCATGCCATCCTGCACTGAGGTGTAGTATGGCACGTTCTCAAACTGAGGTGGGTTGTCATTGACATCTTCTACATAAACTCTGACAGTGGCCTGGGACACTCTCGGTGGTTTTCTATTGTCCTTCACTTCCACAGCTACCTCGTGCACATCTTGTGCTTCACGGTCAAATTTCACACCTTTGGTCTGGAGTACTCCAGATGCTTGGATCATTTTAAATTTTTCCTTCCCATTTAAAAGTGAATAGAAGAGTGGTTCATTTAGCTGATATCCCTTGACCCCCAGAACAGTGAGAGTCTTCTCGTCCGTAGAGTTCTCCATCACAGTTGCTGTGTATACATCTTGATCAAATTTTAAGCCACTACCTTGTGCTTGAGTTAAATTTAGTTTAACCAGAGCAGTACTCTTATATAAACCATCGTCAGCTCTGACCACGAGTTCATGATGATTTCCCAAGCCAGTGGCATTAACAATGGAGAGAAGTCCAGTGAGTGGATGAATGTAGAAAGCATTATCAAGGTTTCCTTCCACGATGCTGTAGGTCACCTCTGAATCAGCATCTTTTGCCTGCACTGACAAGAGCTCCATCCCTGGATGGGCTGGTAACAGGACAGAAAGCTCATAAGTGTCTTTGGCAAAGACCGGAGGTGAATCATTCACATCTTTAACGTGGATTGTGACCTTGGCTGGCTTGGATGCAAACAAACTGGGATTTCCGCTGTCATGTGCGTGTACACTGAAGTGGAAAACTGGGGTGAGCTCATAGTCGATATCAGCACGACTGGTAAGTGTCCCTGTGCTGGGATCTACTGTAAAATATTTTAGTGCTTCTGGTTCCAAGATCTCATAGATGAGCAAAGCATTGGAGTCTTGATCAGCATCTGTTGCATGGGTCACCAGGGGAGCATTGCTTTCATCTAGAACCATGCTTTGTGGGGGAGCATTCTCCATGATCCAGCCGATGAAGGCAGGCTTAACAAAGATAGGCACATTGTCGTTCTCATCTGTGACATAGATAAGCACCATTGTGTCCATGAATGCTCCAGCCATGTTGGTGCCACGAACTTTCAGCTGGTAAAAAGACACCTGCTCAAAATCTAAGCTCTTCTGAGTGGAAATAAGGCCTGACTGATAGTTCACAGAGAACACTCCATCTCCATTTCCATCTTTTATTTCGTAGCTGACTGGTGACAAGCTTGAGGCTGAAACCTGGATCAGAGGAGAGCCAGCAGGAGCAAATTCACTGATCTCTGTGATGTATTCAGCCTCTGGAAATTTTGGAGGGGTTTGATCAGAGGGTCTAATGCGGACATGTACTGTAGCAGAATCTTTAAGCTGGGGGAACCCTTGATCTTCTGCCTTTACAATAAGAGTATATCTCTCTTGCTTGGATGGATCCAGTTTCTGTGCAACTGTAATAATACCAGAATGTGGGTCGATGCTAAAGAAACCTTCCCCGTTACCTGCAAGAAGAGAAATGCAAAGTGAAGAATGCAAACGCCCTGTTGCTCTTGGTTTTCTGTCTTTTCTATTGTGCTCCCAATTTCAGACCTAATTAACATATATACTTTTTTTTAATTAGCAGACTACAATCTTCTTCATTAATTTCTAAATAATTTTCATTCTAAGAACAATGAATCCATTGAGATCTATGGGGTAGCTTTTAACTGAATCAAAAGGTAAATTAGAAGATGAATACTCTTCTAATTTAAGCATATTTAGTGGTGGTAGAGTATGTGTTTGAAACTTCTGCCTTGTGTGCAGAACAAGGTAGCACAGACTGTACTAGTTGCTTCAAGCCCTGTCATGCTTATAATTACCAATACTTCAGGAGCAATTAAATTCCTCAGTCCTTGATCTCAATTGCAGTGAGAAAGATGTAGCAAAGGATGGCTTGTCTCCTACAAAGATTTTACCTGCTAAATCGGCAGTGTGGCACAGCCATAGCTATTTAGGTTTTAATCTTCAGAGTGAATGATAAAATTCTTGCCCAACAAGTTGTCCCATAGAGACCCATCAACCAATGCTGAGAGAGTGCTCCCCTTTCCTCAAGGATGTATTTCATGGTAGAACTAGTGGAAGGGATGGTGGTGGTTGTGTAAAGGCAGTACTTTTGTCTAACAAGGACAGTGATCCGTTGCTCCATTCCCATAGGTTGGAAGATCAGATCTTAAGTTGTTCTAACTTGTCCATTCATATTTTTCCTTTGAACAGTGACTCAACAGTGTCCTTTCTAAGGAAGGATGCTAACATTTCATAATATGGAAATTTCTTACTAGCTATAGTTTTTCTCTGGATAGGAAGGAAATCACAGTGTAGAAACAGAATGGTGAAAAAAATGGCTTTTCACCATTCTTTGCAACAACTAGCAAAAGCTGGGTGGCAGTTTGGTCACCAGCTGGAGAATGGAAATGCATGCATGCTCCTAGCCAAACCACCTTGCTACATGGCCCTCACCTGCCTGCAGAGAGTAGTGGATTTCAGCATTGGCTCCTTGGTCCCGATCAAGGGCTCTGACTTGCAGAATCTCTGTGCCCACTGCTGCTGAATCCAGCGCTTCTGCTTCATAATGGATGCTGCTGAACTGGGGAGGGTGAAGGTTGCAGTTCTCCACGTGGATGATGGCCCGAACAAAGTTCCTCTTGATGGGGACCTCCTGGTCCCGTACCTGAGTGACAGAGAAAGGGCAGGTAGGGTCAAACTCTAGGAGCAGGCAGGTCTTCCAGGATAAGGCTTCCAGAATTTCATCAGGACTCTTAAAAAGGGTGATATGTTTCATTGCTATCAACACTTTGGATGGGGATGAGCCTGCAAGTTTCAGAGCCAAAGCGCAGCCTTGGAGGAGAACGCAAAAATTAACAAATATGCACTGTGTATTCTTGTACAAGAACCCAGTAGCCCTCTGATTAAATTAGCTGGGTGATGTGCTCAGACATTGCTATTTATCCAGGATTTGGTAAAGATTAACACCCTGCTTTCCTCTTTCCTGTCACTCTAGGCAAATTCTGTTTGAAAGACTAGAATTAGCCTAAATTTCTTAAGCAACCAATACGTCCTGGTGAAGCTGGCAGATTTGTCAAGGTTTGGATAGGACTCACCATCACTGTCAGGGTGTGCTGTGGCATCGGCTGGGAACTGAAGCCTTCTGCTGTTGTGAGGGCCCCACTGCTGGGATCCAACTGGAAAAATCTTGTGCTTTTGGGGTCCATGCTACCATGGATGGTGTAGATGAGACCTTTGCCTTTGTCTTTGTCTGTGGCGCTGACTTGAAGGATCTCCCTTCCTGAGGGGGTGTCTTCAGGAATCCTCACCTCATAATGGCTCTCCAGGAACTGGGGGCGGTGCTGGTTGATGTCAATAACGTGGATAAAGGCCTGTGGGGAAAACAGCTCAGTAAGGGCAATGTAACCTTGAGTGCTACTGGACTTATGGAGCCCTGCAAAATCTCCTGATTCCTTTTGACTGGGGCTCTGAGCCCTGTGACTATCACAGCTCCTCCAGCACTTGGGCCGTCCATCCATGGTGATTAGGTCTCATACCTTGGCTGTCCCCAGCCACCATATTGACACTGACTGCATCTGAGGAAGTCCCGACCACGTGTAATAGTTTGCTTCCTTTAACAAACCTGAACATGCCATGAGTGTTTTGCTCAAGCAGGTTTCTTGACATCTGCCAGTGGCCTTGAGTGCCAAAATAAACATGGGGATGAGATGCAAGGTGGCAGGGAATGCACAGCAGGGAAGGCAGGGCTTTGTTTGTTTATTTGGAAAAATGCTTGAAGATATTATCCATTAGCACTGCATTCACGGGAACAGTAGTGTTCCTCACTCATCCTCCACAAACCTTCACAGTGAATTTCCCACAGTAAGAATCACTGATGGGTGACTCATGTTCTAGGCCTTTGCGTGTAGAGAGGGCTGGATTTTTGGCTTCTTTTTATGTATGAAGAAAATGGTTGGTGAAAAATTAAGCTCTGAACACCCTTCCTGACAGTAGCTAAAAATGGGTGAATCTCAGCAGCTGCAGGAACTGGTGCTCAGGAACAGTGAAGTCAGAAGAAAGATTCCCTTTGGCATATACTGACTCTGTATGGGTTTTCTACTACAGCGTAAAGCATTACCTGAGTTTTGATGGTAGTGGACCCATCAGTGACTTCTACTGTCAGGTTATAGCTTGACTTCTTCCTTGCATCAAGGGCTCTTGCAATGACCATACTGCCCGTGCTCTTCTCAATATCAAAATCCATGTCATCGTCACCACCTGGAATAAGAGAGAAATGAAAAAAGGGAAACGGTGAGACAGTTGTGGCTAGATTTGTCTGGAGCTGGCTGCAAGCAGGGCAAACATATTCCAGGAGCTGCCTGGAGATCTGAAGGATGAGGATCTCCCCTCCAGACAGCACACACAAGCCACACATCAAGCTCACACCCAGCCACAGAGAAATGTGGCATGCCAGGCAATGCACCTGGAATGAGGATGTGTAGGCACTCACTCTCGGCATTCAGCTCATCTGGGGTTAGTGCCAGAAGCAAGGCTTCCTCCAAATCTAGAAAGCCAATGCTAAATGTGAGGGATGGACACAGGAGACAGGGTGCACATGAAGAAGATGGGCAAAGAGCTAGCAGGACATGAAGACAAAGGAGTGTGACAGGAACAACAAGGGGATATACAGAAAATGAGGGGGAGGAGAGGAGAATGGATGCGTGGATGCACTCAGTCTCCTGGCTGGATTTGCAAGAGGCCCATCTGACCACTGATTGATTTGCACAAGGTCTCCAGCTATGCACCATCATGAACTTAGCATGGATCAGCAGCCTGCAGGGCTGACCCACAGTCATGCTGGCCTCCAACTCAAGGTCACACCATGGGCATGCCAGCAGTGGTCTTCATGGCCACGGCCAGAAGCCTGTGCTCTACCCAACAGCCCAACTCCTGAACAGTTGGAGAGGCAGAAGGTGCTTCCAGGGTGAGCAGAGCCATTCCAGATGGTCATGGAGTGCTGGAACCGCAGGCCCAAGCAGCAGAAGCTGTCCCTCATGCTGTTGCTGCTCAGCCCTGGCGTGGCAGCCCCCTTCTCATGCTTCACTTGCTGATGGTCTTTCTCTGTCATGCATGAAGCACATTGTTCTGGGATTGGGCTAAAGAGAAGTGGTGCTCTGCCGTTGTATCCTAGCTCTTAGTTCCTCCATTCTTGGCTACCAGATGCTCTGGATTCTGTTTTGTGCTCTTACCAGCTGGGGAAATCTTGGCTGGTTGCTAAATTACATACCTTCCCTTGCAGGAAAAGTGCAGTGGTTGCCAGCCATCTGGACCAGCACTTTCCTGCCGGGAAGAAAACAGAAGGAAGCAGAAAAGAGGAAAAGAGAGAGATCCAGGGTTGTCTTTCCCTGGCAGAAGAGAAGAGGACTCCCTCTGTGTGCTGCCAAAGGGAAAGAGGAAGCCCAGGAAAAGAGAGACAATAAAAATGCTGCTTGGTCAGAGTTTTTGTGTGAGATTGCAGGCAAGTGCAGGTATGTGGTGGGGTAACATTCAGAGGAAGACACTGTTATGCTGCAAGCCCACACAGACATTGCTAATGCCAGGCAAGACTTGCACTTGCACACCACCTCTTGTAGCATTGCATTTCTTGTTGCTTAACTGCATTTATACACTATTATCCCTGCCGTGACATTCTAACGGGGAAAGCTCACCCAATTAAGGCTTTGATGAGGGCTGGCCCTGCAGGCAGTGTCAGGAAGAGGCTGTGCGAAGCAGATTAGGGCAACACTTCAAAACAGCAAATTACAGGATCACAACTGGCCTTTGTTCCTGGACAAGTTCTGCATGCTCACTGCCTGAGACCTGGAGATGATAGCCCACGTCCCCGCTGCTCTGTCACCCAGTGTCCCAGAGGGGAACACTGGCAAATCTCAGAATGTCATTATAAAAAGAGTGTTAGATAATTGCACTTGGCAGCAGAGCCCTTGGGCAGGCAGTGGTCTATTGATGCCTTTTTTGTGTCTGAGAAAGCTTTCTTTGTAGCTCACCTACACCTAAAGCTTCATTAGCTCAGGCACATGAGTGTTGGAAGCCGAAGAGCCAGCGCTCCAGACACCGTGCACCGCTTTCATTTCTGCATCTCACCTGTGATATTAAACCACACTTGGCTGGGACCCATCTCGATGCTGATCACTCCCACCATATGGTTGACGGGATCCGTTTCCATGACGGCAAAGTTAAAGTGGGGCTCATCGAATGCCAGCGGCTCTGAGGAGGGTGCGGGCCGTGCCACCCAGCTGATGTGGAGCCGCACGTGGGAGGAGAGTGGGGGGCTGCCGCCGTCTGTGGCCTTGACCTACCGAGAGATGCAAGGTGAGGGTCTTCCAATGCAAACAACTCTATGATTTTGTGATGTACTGGATGAATTGGGGCTGGAAGGGTATACAAAGCCCTGTGGGAAGCTGCTTCTCCCACCCACCAAGTAGGAGCCTTGAGCCCTGTGTGCCCCCTAAATCCCACAAGATAAATCTTGTCCTAAATCCATGTGACCTAGGTGGAGCCCAAATTCGTCTTGGGCATGGGGCAAGTCTGCTGGATCCAAAGCAGAGAGATGGGTCGCAGCCCTTGTTCTGAAGGCCCACAGGGTATGGGCGAGCTGCAAACCTGAAACTCACAGACTGTTTGGGTTCAGGTCCACCTCTGGATGAGACATGGATCACTGTAGCCATCACTGGGGGTGCACTGAACAGTCCTTTTAAATTTTCTCCTTCATTTTTAATAGCTTCTTATCTTCCACGTTGCTTCTCCCGCCCTTTCTCCCAGTTTTTGTAGCCCACCCTTATCTGAATCAAGTTCTCCCACTGTTGCTTTTCACCCACCTCTTTTCTTATCTTTCCTGTCTCAGCAGCCTTCCCTCTACACCCACTCTGTTTCCCTCTCTTCTCACCGTGAGTATGTTGTATTCAGAGGCAGGAAAAGCCTTCCTGGAGAGCACCATGCCGGTTATGGGGTTGATGGTGAAGATCCCTTCCTCCTCCTCCTCGATGGTGTAGGTGACCTGGCTGTTCTGGCCCTGGTCACGGTCTGAAGCAATAAGCCTGTAGACTGGCAGTGGTGTCTCTGAGGCTTCTCTCTCTGGGAGCTGCACCATGAAGAGCTTGTGGGGAAAACTGGGAGGGTTGTCATTGGCATCCAGGACTTGTATCACCACTCTGCTGGTGGACTTCAGGGCTGGGTCTCCGTTGTCAGAAACAGCCACCTGCCAGCAAGCAAAGGGACAGAGCTGCTTGTTGTGACCTAGGACATGAGCAGCCAGCCTTCATCCTGAAGGATAATGCATGCTGCCTACTACACTTCATCCTGAGAATAACAGGGTTTCCATGTGAATCTATCTTTGTATCTCAGAATTTTCAGAGCCCTTTCTCCTTTCTACAAAGCTAAACCTCGTGGCTGAAACTTGCACTGCCCAGTGCTTGCGCAAGGACAGGGCAGTGTGCCTGCAGGGCTCCTGCCTGCAGCAGCTCAGGGCAGAGGGTCAGGCATTGGTCATTAGGAGCTGCACGCCTGAAAACACCTGTATCCTTTGACTGACCTAGTTATCACCTATCCTCTCTTTGCTGTGCCTGTGCGCACTCCCATCACATTGCACTGCAGAGGAATTTTTATCCTCAACTGCCTTGAAAGACACAGAACACCTTCTGGTCCCCATAATGTAAGTACACGTGTCTCAGAGCAGCTGGGGATGGAGGCAGGCATTGCAAAGCTACAGAACAAAGTGTGGTACAATGAGATAAATCAGGGTGGATTTCTCTGGCTTCTTCTTTCTCTGGTAATTTATTATCCAACCTCCTAGAGGACAATTCCAGTCTTCTTACATTCCCACAGCTTCCAGAACAAGCCTTTCGCTCCTGTTTTCAGCAAGGAAATAATAAACCCCACAGTACTGCTGCAGCTGTCTCTTAGGGCAACGCACACCATTTAATTAAGTTTCCCAGCAGTTGGGAGCTGATGGGATGAGATTCCTTCTCTGTGCTCCAACATGCAAGGAGAGTTCTTTGAGGACTTAATACATTTGTAAGTAAATAAAGCTAATTACAATCATCATTACCTACCTCTAGGATATGTTCAGCCTTGTATTCTCGATCCAGCTGCCGTGAAGTTGTAGAAATCAGACCTGCCAAGAAAGAAAGAGCCTTTGAGCTTCAAGAGTCAGTGCCCAGGGAAAGCAAGGGCTGACCAGATCCCCATGTATCCAGTGGGTTTGTTTCGGGTTCCTGCTGTGATCAGAAGCAGATTCCTCAAGGAGCAGTTTGTCCGCTGCAGATCATTGGGTGAAGAAGCTGCCCTCTCCTCCGAGTGCAGAGGCCATGGAGGATAGGGGACCCCTCCCGGATCCCAACACATCTCAGATCCCAGACCTATACCAGATCCCATAACGGCTGAGGGCTGTGGAGACCTTGTGGTGAGGCACTTGGTGAGAAAGGCTGCAGAACCAAGAAAACAAAACCTTTCTTATGCCTCTAAGTAAGAAACATTCTGCATGCGCTGGCAGAAGTTCGGCCTGTAAACGTGTCTCAACTCCTGTTTTCCCCGTGTTGAACCTTGCTCCTTGTAATTTGCAGTGTTTTGACAAAACTTTGCCTTCTGTCTTGGGAAATACCCTCCCTTCTACCACTAGAATTTGAGTCTAAAAATAAGGTACATTGTTGATGGTGTTGGTACATAGTTTGAGCCTTGCCTGATAGATGGGGTGAATCCTCCAACACCTGCAAGATTTGAGGGGTTTCTAAAAAATACACATTGGTTTAACTGCAGGGAATAGCTTGGATGCAGAAGGGAAAAATACGGCTTTTATGAAATAGTTTAAACCAAAGTTTAATTGCCTCCTTTTGGCCCAGGTGAGTAGATGCAAGTATGGAAAGGATGGAGCTGAGGTTTGAGTTTCCATATCTTGTTTGGGAATAGTCCTTACCGTATGCCTTTATTCCTCGCCTTTGGTGAATTGAAACTCTGGACCATTTGCACAACTACTTTACAGTACTATTTGGCCCAAAGCCAACAGGTTTTAATTAATACCATTGTTTTCAGTTGTACTGGGGCTCTTTGGTATATTGCTGTTTAGGCATGAGAAAATTTCCAGTGGCTGCAGGAAACACCAGGCAGCTGAAGGAGGAGTGCAGAGCAGCTGCTTGGAACAAGGCTGTTATTAACTGTTTCCACTCATTCTCTTGGATTGCTTGTATTTGGCACCAGGCACTGAGCTGAGCATTTATTTCATGCCTTTACAATCATAAATCAACACTTTTGCACGGTGACAAGATGATTTGGAAGAGTGGTTACCATGGATTTTTTTTCCTTCCTAATCCTCCTATTGACATCTCAGCAGGTGAAGGAGACTCAGCAGTAGCCAGGGAGCCACTTTCTTCACTGGTGAGAGGCTGTAGGGTTCTGACAACAGCCAAATGCTCAACGTGCATGGAAATATTCTCTTAGTGGGGCTCAAAACAGAATCGCAGCAGCTCTTGACTGAGATCTCTGATGCTCTGCTCTGCATTATCTAAAGAGGACCTGGAGTGAAGTCAGAAACTCAGCAACTTCATGGAATGATTTATAATTTTGGTCTAACAAGTCCACAGGGCACGCTGGATATTAATAACAGAGCCAACTAATACCCATGAGTACACTGTGGATACTTCCAGTTTACCTCATTGCAAAATTCAGTTGCAACAGACACTCTGTGTGCACTTGGTTGCTGCATGTCGGCTGTTGGAAGGTAACTTAAACCACTCTAAAGAGATTATTTGGATCTGCCTGGCCACACCCTGGAATTCTTCTGTGACCTCATGATAAAAATGAAAGGAACAAGCTCATAGCTGAGATTCTTACAACCAGGAAAGGATTGTAGTGATGGCACATGAACTGGGACTTAATGGTTGTCCCGAATGTCTGTAGAAGATGCTCTGATCTCCTGAGGAAACTGCTCCTCCCTTTTTTCTGCCACCCCATACAATGGAAAGTGCCCATCTAGTTTTTAATGAGAGTGTTTTATGTGCATGTGCATCTGTGTGCCTTTCCTACACCTCTGGAAAACATCAGCCAGCCTGTGCAACGGGATTTGAGGTGGAGATGGCTCATAGAGGTGGCACTGAAGGTTTCCTCTAGAGGCTGAATGAAAGTGCTGAAGGTCCTGACTTCATTTGGCCAGCTACCTGAGCTCAGTGTTCACCTGAGCGTCCAGAAATGATCCCTTCTGTCACTTTCCCAAGTCCTGCCCTTGCAGCATATCTATGCACAGCAGTGGGAAAGGTTTGCCTGTGATTCTCCTGCTCGCTGCCTTGAAAGCGGAGAGAGGAAGGCTGGTCGTGTTGGAACAGGAGCAGCAAAATTAACAGTGCGTTGTTGTCAGGGAATAAAGAAGAGTAATAACTTCTGCTGGCAAGAGCAGGGCTGGGGTGGATGTTGCTAGCCCCCCACCCTGGCTGCAGGGAGGAGAATCTAAAATAGTTAAAATAGCCAGAATCAGGTTTCCAAGCAATTGAGCTTTCGCAAGAGCTGTAGAAGGGAAGAGGCTGTTCCCCTGAAATTCTCTTTCTCTTGTCCCGCTGTTGTTTCCACTGTACCCTCTCCACTCTCCTACCACCTCCCCTGCTGATCTGTCCCATGCTCATCCTGCGGCACATTGTCCAGGGAGCAGCAGTGTCACCATCCCTCAGATTCAAAGATGCTCTTCCATGCAGAGAAATGCACGGAACATCTGGTGCCTATGGGAAGCCTGTGGGCACTGACTCAACAGGAGAATCACCACAGTAGGTAGGAGCTGGAGATGAATAGGCCAAGACAGAGGGACAGCCTTCCAGCAAGATGGATGGCTCTGTCCTGACTCTTCCTGCCACAGTCTCCTAGTTCCTCTCAGTCCTGCTTGGACTGCAACTTGCTTCACATCAGTGACTTCAACTCAACACAAAACAAGCTGAAAACTCTTCCAGCAGAAGAATCCAACCTCTCACTCTCTCCATCTCTCTATCTCTCTATCTGTCTCCCATAAATACTGCTCTGCACCAGCTGCCAGCTTGGGCTGGAGAGATTCCATTGCCCATGGCAGAAAGCTTTCATCTCACTGTGCAGTTTTATTCCCTCTTCTCATTAGCCTTTCATTTATTTTCCCTCTTTTTTTTCTCCACCCTCTTGAGAGCTGGAAGAGCTTAGAGATCTTCTGTGGTAGTTCAGGGCTGCTGGAGGAGCCAAGCTCTGCTGAGGGATCGTTGTCATGGCCACCCTTGTCTCCTTCTGAGGCCTCAAGAGGACAAGCCAAGGGGCTTTGCTGGGTTTGTGTCCACTGGCCAGCCAACTCCTGTCTTGAGGTACTGAACCAAATACAGAACAAGCTGGCTCTAGGAACAGAAACAAGTTACTTGTGGTAGGGTGGCACCATGCCCACAGTAATTGTCCAGGGCTATTCTGCAGGGTTATTCCGGGTGTAGACACGCCTGTTGTAAGAGTCAGAGCAGTCCCTAATTCCTGTTAGTGCACACAGTGTGAACAAGTTTCCTCCTCTCCCTCTGCCAGGGGGTTCCCACCAGCAGAATCCTGCCTAGGGGCCATGGGGGCTTGCTGGGCTGACCCTTGGCCCCTGTGTGCCTGAGTGCTGGCAAGATGGATCACATAGATCCCTGGCATCTCAAGAACTGAAAGATGATTGGGTCTTTTAATGATGATTTCCTCTAGATAATAAGGGAAGCATGCATTTGAACAACGGAAGACATGTCATAACTAAATGAATGAAAATATCTCATGGTTTCCAATAAACTGCCTGCAGCTCAGAGATTCAGACAAGCTGTGATATTTTTCCTGGCAGCAGTAGAAGATGACTTCTCTTCCGATACTCTAAGCATGAAGATATACACTGCTCAGTTTATGCCAACGTTTGCAGGTAATCATTTGTTCTTTCAGATAACACACATGTAAGGAAAGGAGAACTGAATCCTCGTCAGGCTTGGAAGCAGGCCTTCAAGCAACCTCACACTCAGGGTTTAAAGAAGAGACCTCCAGCAACTGGCCAGGAGATAAGATCATCTCACGAGCTTCTTACAGGACTGACAAACATATCACTCTTCACATGCAAATTATCTGACTGCAGAGAGAGATGGATAGGAGATGATTCACACCTGAAAAAGCATTTTTTGTCTAAGATGGGAATGAAAGCATTGGCTTAGAGGTGAGGTACCTCACTAGTAAATGTTTGGATTTGGCCAGTGTTGATTGTTTTAGCATGAAACACAATGACCTTGGAGTTCAGCTTCATAGGGCTGCGCTCACACCGGAGCGAGCCATCAGCTAATGTCACTGCCTCAGCCTTTTACTGTACATCCCGCTCCTTCCCCTTTGAGAGCAGGCTTCTCTCCCACTGCAGTAGTGAACTGCTTTTATCACCCGCAGGAGATCAAAGTCATACAATTAATCCTCTCCCAAACCCAGGCTTTGTGCCCTCCCTTCCCTCTCCTCCCAGGAGCTGATAGAGCGAAGGGCACGGAGCAGCTTTCCCTGCCAGACTGGCCCGATGTCAGCGCTCTGGGATAGTTTAGGAAGCTGTTTACAGTAAACATCAACTGATTTTTGATGGTTCTGAAAGATCTGGTAATTAATCCCCAGATGAAAGATACAGTCTAGGAAGATGGCTTACTGCACTGACTGCGCTAATGGAACCGGGGGATGGGTGGAACCTTCAGAGGCAATGGGATTCGTTTTTATTAATCCTGCCTTGCTGGCTCTCAGGAGCAAACAGTCACCTCCAGTAGGGTGTTTCCTGGCTCAGGCTGTGCAACAGCTCGGTTGTTCATAAGGGGGAAGAACAAAAAAAAAAAATCCTTGGTTCTATGAAGGGCTTTGAACACAACATATTCGTGCCACTCTAAGAGCCACCTGGCTGCAAATGGCAGCTTCCAGGTGGAGGGTTTCAGTGGTCAGCCTCCACACAGTGTATTTGGAGATGGACTTTTCCATCAGAAGGAAGGTGTGACAGTGCAGCTGTGTGGGCTGTTTCTATTGAGCACATAGCATCTTCTAGGCATTTGAAAGACTCAAAAACCAGAGTTGAGTTGGGCCACTCTTACCTGTCACAAGGTTAATGGTGAAGAGTCCTTGAGGATTTCCAGTTAGGATGTGAAAAGTCAGTTTTCCCTCTGAGCTAGAGTCTGGGTCTAAGGCATCGAGCTGAAGGACAGATGTGTTTGGTGGGGAATTCTCCATCACAGAGGCATAATAAACAGGTCTGGACATCTGAGGAGGGTTGTCATTGGTATCTGTGACTTCAATGTAAATTTCAGTTGCAGAAGACAGAGGAACTGTTCCCAGGTCTAGGGCTAGCACTGTCAGCCAGTAGTGAGATGTCCCTTCTCGATCAAGTGGTCCGATGGTCCTGATGGTGCCTACAATGAAAGAGAGTGCTTGTGAGGGATCTGCAGAACTCAGACCACTTTGTCTTCAGTGCTACACCAGTTTGTATTCCTGGTCTGCTTACTGTATTTCATGGAGATATAAACATTGGCACCAGCCTTGCATGCTGTGACACTGTGTGGCAGATAGGGGCTTCCTTGTGTTGGAGGTAATTTGGTGCAAATGTGAAGGGGAAGGCCTGGGCAGTTTGGGTGAGGGTTGACATGGATTTTACGCTGTTTAAAGGAGACAAACCCTGCTTGCTCCTCCCTGTATACAGGGTTACACATCATAAATCCCTGCAGGAAAAGAAGGATTTGAATGCATTGGGCCAAAAAATCAGGTAAAACACAGCATGTTGTTTCAGCCTCTGAGGTAAATATTTAAATAAAGCTGTTATTACCTGTGTCCTTCTCAATGCTGAAGACGGACAGGCCAGTGCCCTCTCGGAGGAAATACTGAACCTCTCCATCTTTCCCCTTATCAATATCCTTTGCTGTGACCATCATCACAGATGTGCCCTCAGGGCTGTTCTCCTGCACCCAGCCTTTGAAGACAAAGGAGGCAAAGCGCGGTGGGTACAAGTTCTCATTGACATCAAGGACGTTCACTTCCAGGTGGCAGAGGGAAGAGCGAGAGACGGGCTTCCCACTGTCACTGACCTGCACGGTTAGATTGTAAGAGTCCTTCTTCTCATAGTCCAGCTCCTTCTCTAACCGCAGTGCTCCAGTCAGCTTGTCTATGTGAAACATCATCTCCTCATCATTAACAAGGCTGTACCTCACCTCTCCCCCAGAGCCAGCATCAGGGTCAAAAGCCTCCAAAAAGAGGAGGATGGTTCCTACAGGCAGGTCCTCTGGGACCTTCACACTGTTCAGGGCTGGGAGGCAGTGTGGGTCGTTGTCATTTACATCCTCCAGAGTCACAGTGAGATCTGTAACAGAGAACAGCTCATAGCCTGTTTTGGGCTGGTCCCTAGCTTTTATTTTCAGTGCATAGCAAGGCCACAATTCTCTATCCAGGGCACCTGTAACTGTCACTTCTCCAGTGACACTGTTGATGGCAAACTTGTCAGTGGGGGTTAGGAGAGAATATTTTACTCTCCCATTATCATCTGTATCAGCGTCTTCTGCTTTCAACTGAGCTATTGTTGTCCCTGTTGCTACATTTTCAGGTACTGTCACCCAGTAGGCACCTTGTGGGAATCTAGGCGTATTATCATTGGTATCCAAGACATTCACAGCCAGGAGTTTCCAAGATGATTTTTGTGGTGTGCCAAGGTCATACACAGTAATGTTAAGAATGTAGAAACTGGTTCGTTCATGATCTAGAGGAGAAAGGACTTGGAGGAGACCTAGTTCCAGGTCAATGGTAAAGCAGCTGTCAACATTTCCATCTGAGATCACATAGACCAATTTCCCATTAAAACCAGTATCAGGATCAACAGCTGAAAGGTCAGCAATAGTTGAGTTGATGGGAACATTCTCTATGATATCAATAGATCGTGGAAAGCTGTCATCAAATTTTGGAGCATTATGGTTTATAAGGTGCAAATTTAGAGTTGTTTCATCATCCTGCCCTTGGCCTTGAGCCTGAGACTCAATGGAGTGTATGATAGTTTCTGTCAGTTGTTTCAATACTCCTGTTTCCTCACACTGCATTTTAACAGGGAGACCTTGGCTGACCACAGTGATATTTACAGATGTTGGCAAAGCATAGTTCTCCCCATCTGTTGCAGTTATTTTCAAAGAGTAGAAGAGTGGCTGTTCAGAAGGAAGATCTCTCAGAGATATCCTAAGAGATATTACCCCAGAGATGGGATTCAGTTCAAAATGCCGTAACTCATTGCCAGACTTGATTTCATACTTGATACGCTGCAGCTCATCACTATCGATTGCAGAGACTGTGGCCACAGGATTCCCAACAGGAAAGTCCCGTGGGATGCTGCCACTGCAGCTTGCCTTCTCAAACACAGGAGCGTTGTCGTTGACATTGCTGAGCATGAGGGAAACGTACACCTCCGTTTCATGGCGGAAGGGTGAGCCCCAATCTGATGCCCACACTCGCAGGTGATACCATCTCTGCATCAACTCATAGTCCATTGACTTGGAGGTGGAAATTACGCCAGAATACGGGTCGATGACAAAGGGAACTGATTTCTGGTTGGCTATGGTGTAGGTTACAAAGCCATTGTCTCCTTCATCTTCGTCTGTAGCTCTCACTGTTAGGACACTGGTGCCAGGAGGAACATTCTCATCAAAAGCCCCACGGTATGAAGACTGACTAAAACTTGGAGCATGGTTGTTGCAGTCAGTGATGTCAATGATAACAGTTGCAGATGTGTGACTGTTAGTGGTTGCAACTTCAAGTTGAAAATTAGATTGCTCGTGGAAGTCCATTGCTCTGACAGTAGTAATCAATCCAGTGTGAGGATTGATTTTAAAATTTGTGCTGTCAGGAGTAGGTCTCAAAACATATTTAAGATTTGGAAGGATTGGTGTAATCTTCACCATAGCAACTTGACTTCCAGGTGGGGAAAATTCACTGAGCTGGACTCGGTAGACTTCTTTCTCAAATCTGGCAGAGACATACTTGGAAGGAGGTATATGTATAACTCTAACAGGAGAGAAAAGTGGTGGTTTATTCTTGTCCTTGGCTTGTAGACTGAGGTTGAAACCAAAAGGGTGAAGTAGCCAGTCGATCTCTTTTATTGCCACAATCATGAACTCCATGCTTCCAAAGTAGGATCTGATGACTGCGAAATGCCTTCCTGGATCTCCACCTATAAAGTCTACTGAATCTATCCCTGCTTCTGAGTCACCACTTTCTACAGACAGGCTTGCATAGACAAGGTCTTCGGCCGAGTCAGGCAATGCCACTTTCACTGAGGAGATAGAGGGGGGTTTCCTGGTTGAGGGCTCCACTTGGATCATGAGACTAGCCAGGTTCCCAAAGCCATTCCCCTCCAGGATCTTTCTCATTCTGTCCACAGCTAAAACTTGCAGGTGGTGCCTGCCTCGATGGGTGCTGTTCAGCCTACCAGTGGTCACAACTGCTCCTGTGGTGGGGTGGATGGTGAACAGGTCTGACTTTGTGTTGAGGGCATAGTAGAACTCTGCGTTCTGGCCAGCATCGGCATCCGTGGCACTGAGTGTGCTGACCACTGTTTTCAGAGGAGTGTCTTCTCTGATGGACACTTTGTAGGAAGGCGGTGAAAAGAGAGGTTTCAAATCATTTCTGTCAAGAATGTGGATTAAAACTTTGGCCCAGGCTTCATAGGCAAAGGTGTTCTCTGTGGCCTTGATTATTAACATATAGCTATCTTTGACCTCTCGGTTTAAAAGTGCTGTGTTGCTGCTCCTAGTTCTTATTCTCAAGAAGCAAAAATCCCCAATGACATGCTCCTCCGTTTTGAAGAGACCACTGCTGTCTCCAGAAGCTATTCTGTATCTGATGTCCCACTCGGGGTCAGTCTTGTAAATACCCATTTTGACATAGCTCTCCACGTAAGTCTTAGGAGCTGAGTTCTCGTAGATGGTGGCATTGTAGAAGAAGTGGGTGAAGTGCAGAGGGGAAGTGTTGCCTTTCTCACAGCTTGCATCACGGATCGTGCAGTGCACCAGTAAAACAGCAAAACTCAGGAAGTTCCTCTTGGTAATGATTTCCATGGTGTGGTGTCTCCTCAGGTCCTGCAGGGATAAAAGGAAGAGCATCATGAATTCTGGCACGTATGGAAGAGGGACCATTTTTATCAAAGCCAGTGTGCTAGAGGAAAAATCATAGGATCATAGAATGGCTTAGGTTGGGGGGGACCTCAAAGATCATTGAGCTCCAATCCCTTCTGCCATAGGCAGAGTTGCCAGCCACCAGGTCAAACTGCACAGGGTTCCATCCAACCTGGCCTTGAGTATCAGGGATCCCTCTCTTGTGCTGCCTGAAAGAGCAGATCTCTAGCAAGGCACTTCCACCACGTTGCCCTTGGATGAGTAACTCCCCTGGTTCCTCCTCCTGATGGCAAAGCCCCAGGCTCAGGATTCCCACCACCCCTGACCACCCAGCATCCACTGCCTTCTCCAACAACTGGTGAAAACCTGTGGTTCTGCAATTCATCTCTGCGAATGTGTGTATCAAAGTCATGAGTTTGATGTCACAGAAGGAACTGGAGAATGCACCCATGATTAACAAGGATGTAGCTTTATTAGGCAGCTTTGCAGGGCTCGTTAAAGGATCAAGGCCTGCTCTTTTCAAAAGCTTGGTGTGTGCTGCTGTGTGTGCATGCAGGGGTTGAAGCCAAAGATGAGCTAAATATAGGTGCATATATTTCCCATAGATATCCCAGAAGATCTTTATCTAGAGCTGTTTCTTCCTCTTTTAAATTTAAATTACATATCAAGTACCTGCCAGTCATTTGGCACATTCCTAATTTAAACAGGGAAGACTTGTTTTTCCAGACACTTTTTCAAGACTCATCTCTTTAAAAGCCAGAACTAGTTCAGTTTATAAGTCAATTCGAATGTTAGGAATAAATTATTGGAGCCTAACTAGCAACGTGTGTCACATTCTCTCACGGAGATGAACTGCTGATAAGCACAAAGCTGTATATTTGATGCTCCATTCAAACCCCTTTTCCCTTGGTAGGCACGTGCCAATCACCCAGCAATCTCACTGCTGTGGTCATTGAGAGGAATGGCCTCAAACTGAGTGCAGCAAGTCAGTATGAAGTGAAAACATCAGAGGAAGTTTATGCAATTTAGACTTTCCATAGATGACAAAATTAAGACTTTTATGGCAACATCATTGCACTTCTAGAAAACACACCGTAGTCACAAATGCAGTGTACGAAAGAAAATCATGGAGCACAAGGATACAAAAAGGCACGTTGTTCCTTCCAAGGAGCTGAAAACTATGTTCTGAAACAATCTGCTCATTACTTAGCAGCGTCTAAGAGTTTGGCAGCATGTAGGGACTTGCCTAGAGCTGCTTCCTTCCAACATTTTCAACTGCTGAACCTGGAAATAAAATGTATGCATGCTGGGTGCGCGTGTGTCTGCACGGACTGGGAAGCAGGAAAAGTCACATACAATCCAGTAGAATAAGACAGCAGAATAAAACAGCAACAAAAATACAGTGTTGTTTCATGAACAACAGAGTTAATGAAGCCGATCGTTTTGTATCTGGGCTAATTGACTTTTTAATTCAATTGTACTGAAATGGCAATGTGAACTCATCTCTTGTAAGACATCAGAGAACCCACAAGGCAGAGACGTTATGAACTCCGCAACCACAAGAAGAGCCAGAGCTAGAGAACATGCCTTCTTGAACACCAGCAATTCCATAAGGGAGGATAACCTTGAGCAGGGAGTGGGTTTTCTGGCATTTAACAAGATGCAAACACTCTTCTGAAACTCTCCTGGAATGTCCTGAACCTGACTGCTGTCTGTAGACTTCCTGACATCTAAGATGGTCTCAGCTCGTGTTGGTGTTTTTCCTCTGTGGGGACATTAGCAGGGTTATACACCTCCGTCCAGTTAATTGTTTTGCAAAACCAGTTATGACCTCATGTTTCTGAGAGCTTTGCTCTCAATTACAAGCTGGGCTGAAAGCAATCAATGGCTTCTTATTATGGGGGATGGAGAGCAACAACACAGACAGGGCGTGAGGCAGAAGCCTTGTTTCCTCTGGAGATAATCTGAAAAAGTAAAAGGCACAGCCAGACTTCAGGGAGAATTTTCTAGCAGGCAGCACTGTCAGCTCTTGATGTCTAACACTTTCTTTCCAATGCAGGACCCATGCCCAAAGCCCCAACATTAATGCATCCCCTGTCTGCACCTCCAGTGCTCTGAGATGTGTCATTTCACCAGCTCTACCTGGAATACAAGCTCAGCCATTAGACTTTCCTTCTAGGCTCAGAAAGCTGTGTGGTCATTAAATCAATGTTTCTCTAGCATCTTTTCCCTGCCCAGTGCCTCTTAAACAGAGACAACATTGCAAATCCCCTTCTCCTTTCCCATATATCAACCTTCAGCTTTACCAGCTTCATATTCATTTGGACCTGGAGATTACAAGGACATCTTTGTGGCACATGGTTTGGTAGGCATGGTGGTAGGTGGATAGTTGGACTAGATGATCTTAGTGGTCTTTTTCAATCTTAACAATTCTATGAGAGTGAGCTGCTGGGGTTCAGATCATCTTGGTGGTGGGAGGAAAGAGAAAAGAAGAAAAAAGACCTGTGGGATTTATTAGAGAAATATAGAAAACTACTTATTTTCTATGGCATGGCTGACAGCATCAAAGATCTTATCTGTCGAGCTCACGAGATTTTAGGACTATTGCTAGAAAGCCCTCTGACAGGAGTGTTGTACCAATTGCCTTTAATTTGTCTATGCATCATGATATTACAAGAGAAAACTCCGAATTTGAGTTTGCAGGCATCAAAACTGGGTGAAACAAGCTAAAATACCCTCCCTCAGCCCCCAACCATTATCTCAAGGGATGGCATACTTCCACTCTTGCTTCTTGCCCAGGTATGAGAGGTCCTTGCTTCTCTCTCACCCAGCTCCCTTGGGCACAGACATTCTCCTGGAGCTGGGTGCTGGAGAAAGCCCCTCGCTGGAATGGAGCCAGTCAGGGAGGGCATGCTCTGACTGGGGGAGATAGCAGTGGTGGTGATTCAGCCTCCTCCTAATCACCAGGCGACGATCTGAGAGCCTCGAGGGGCTTCGACCTCAGCCCTGTAGATGTAAAGTACCCACAGAGCCAGTAAACACGCGCTGTATCTCTGATCGCAGCCTAAGCACGCGTCTAAATTTAACATCCAAATTGTAATTCTCTGTCAGAGACATGCCCAAATCTGTTGGTTTGAAACGAAGGAACAAACACGGCGTTGAGGTTCAAAGCGGGTGTGTGGGGCGGTCGGGGCGCTGTGGGGGGCTCGGGGCAGAGCATGGCCCCACCAACCAGGGCGAGTGGATGGTGCTGGGAAATGGACCCCGGAGAAGCCTGGGGGCTGCAATGGGGTTTGGCCGTGCTGCGGACCAGTGCTGCAGCCTGCCAGCAAGCAGGTGTGGCCCCAGCACCACCTTCTGATCCCCTTCAAGTGGAACGTTTGAAAACAAGCAAAACCCCAAACACAAAACAAGCCAAATACACCAAGAGCAGCATTCCCCTTGCTGGCTGCAGTCAGAGCTTGGCCAAAAGTTTTGGGGTCAGAAGAGTAAAGAAAAATCATCATTTTTTTTCTCTCAATTTCTTCCTTTGTTTCTTCATCATAAGAAACAACCTCTCACATGGAATAAATACCCATCAAAACCAACACTGAGCACACCAATGCCTTGGAGGCTGCCAGCACTAGGAGCAGAGGGTGAAGGGAGATTGCTCAAATAGACAATGCTGGGGCAGTCCAGATCTGGGAGTGGAACTGAGTGGTCACAGAGTAATAGAAATGGAGAGCAGAGGAAGCACATCCTGTAGGGTAGTGGGGCATGAGGCTTTGGGAAAGAGAAGAGGGAGCGGACTTGTGTTAGGTGGATCATTGGATTTGATGATCTTAGAAGGCTTTTGCAATGAGACCCTATGATATTAGGAGTTGGGGCACTGTCTTCTCCTGGACTGGAGGGTAATGGAGCAGATGGGGTTTATCAGTAGTCAGAGCAGTCTGAATTATGGCTGACTTCTGAGAAGGGTCAGTCAGAAAGCAATCAACAGGGTTTCTATGTTGGAAAGTCACAGGTTGTAAAACCTGCTTGTTGTATGGATGGTGATCCATGTCTATAAGATGTTCTGATTCCCAGCATCAAAATAATCCACGTACACATTGCACTTGGACTGGTGCTTGGTTAATGCTTGCCATTTTTTCAGTGCAGCAATGTTGCTGGGATTGGGTCCTCCTGCATTCGGTGCCTTGCAGTTTTGGCGAGCTTCCCCAGGTCACTAACAAAGCCAGACCCATGGGGTTTGCATTCTGGGGTGAGCTTGGTTTTTTTTGAACTGTTTCTCTTGGACTTTGCAAAATAAACAAGTCCATCCCTTGCTAAGTGATGGCATGGAGCTGTTCCCATATTCTCGGCTGCATTTCAGTGGGAGGTTGAGCCTGGACTAGTGGCAGGCACTGTGCTTAGCTCTCCTGATTTGGTTGTGCAGAGGTTGGTTTTGCAGTGATGCAGAAGAAATGCATCCTGGAGGATGACACAGGGACAGAAAACTAAGGAAGACTGGCCCTGAAGTTACAAAGCTCCTTTCCTCAGTGTATCTCAAGGTTTTCCAGCACCTGTGGATGACTTTGGAGGGCCTGCCATTGGTGGGACAGTCCTACAGCAGCATGTTCAGGGATGATGCTCACATGGGCAGAACTTTTCCTAGACTTGCAGATTTCACCAGGATGCAGCCAGGCCATTCCTTCCCCATCTCACCTTCCCAAGCTCCAGACACGAAATATTTGTCAACCTTGATGGGACGCTCAGATCCAGGCTGGTTCTATGGACCTCTTCCTGCATGGTGCCTCCACAAGCCAGCCACTTCCATCTCTTCCATCTTAAACATCTCACCCACTGTTTCATCCCTGTGGCTTTGGCTGTGTCCTCCTGCTCTTCCTGCTGCATTTCAGGTCCCATGTGTCTTCAGCTCCAAGCCATCTTCTGTCCATGAACAAGGCAACACCTAGCTGTGGAGCCAAAGGCTTTTTCCTGTC